GGCGAAAATGCCGCGAGATCTCCAAACTTGGATTCTAGATCTATAGCACATGACTCAATTTGGGCAGGGTCCATGGAATATTCGAAATTTGGATCGCGTGTTGACACCCCACAATCTAAAATTGTACTCTTTCCGCTTCCACGAGGATCCATCAAATAGAAGTTTGCAGATATGTTATGATCGAAATGTAGCATGGACGCAGTCATTTCCTCTACGTATATACAGTGTGTCAATGATTTATCAATGATGGTAGCCATTCATTTATGAAAGCTACTTACTAGTTTGGGAATTCCTCCCCATAATCCATATATTGATAGCAGTCTCGGGATTAATGGCAGGAATTCGTTTGACAAAAATTTCAATAGTCTGGTTCACAGTCCTTGGCGCTGTACAGACATCAGAGTAGCACAGAGGTGCCGAGAATTTGCCACACTGTGCTGTCATTGCTGCTGTCTCGTGATCCATACCATCAATATTAGAGAATAAAGGGCAGGAATACCATTTAGACACCTCATGTCTTTTAATAGCGGAGGCCTGACAAACACATGTTGCGACGAAGGCTACGAGCTTAAAATTCATTGCAAATGAGATCAAGGCTTGTTAGACGAAGCAAATTCCGGAATGATGACATCATCATAAAGTCCAATGACTTTTATAGAGCTCGCAAGACAAGTCTCATTACCCGGGTCATGTCTGCTATTGTAAGCTTGTTGATTGTATGAAAAAGCCCCCGTTACAATCCCGTGATTTTGCGTACATAAGGAAATGATCTGGCAGTAATGTCTTCTAATTGATCCGATTGAATGAAATAGATGTCCCATCAGATGAGACCTAAGCATATCAGTGGTATAGACAGCACACAACCAGACAAAGAGCCTTTACGGAAGTGTCATGTCAACAACTTTGACGATACGATATGCGATGGGACCTTGCGTGTACTAAATGCGCAGAAGATGTATCTGTACAGTTTCATCCAGTAGCTGTGATGGCGCTTTACTTGAGGGTATCATAGCTAATTTTTATGATTGTGCTATGCTATCTACAATACTCATACTACTTGGTATGAGACAAAAAGCTTGCGCACGCCATAGAATTTTAAAAGATTTTATATGTCATGTATCTATCTGATCACGTGCTTCTACAAAGTGCAACATGTTTTACCTTCTTTAGAACATTTGACCTCGTCATTACCATAGTGTCATATTAATTTATGTCTGTATGTCTTTTACTCCTGCAAATTAAATGTGTTTTGCAACGCTGCGTTAAGCCGCAGATTTGTTCAGAGGTTAAGTAGGGGGATCTAATGGGCGTGGTCAAGTCAATTGCTACTACATATTGCGATTTGGTGTTGGAGAATCACCACAATTCGTCTTCTCCTTGTAACGTCCCCCTCGACGCAGTCGCCACTTTATATTGCATGTGAAGTGGTGCAGTGACCAGCCAAGTATGACATTATGAAATGACTGTGAACATAGCGACGAAGGAACAAAGGAACAATGGCTTACGGTCCTCTGAATTACATCTCACTCTTTTTATCACCACTCACAATTTGAGTGGCGTTGTCCCCTTTTCCACAGAGTCAACGTCAAATAATAAGCTCCCAAACCTTTCAGCTGCAGGCTCTAAGGTACTCGCACTGTCTTGTTCGAAACTGTGTGGAGATTTCTTACAGTCGACCAGCAATAGCTCGCTGTGTATTTTTGCGGACAAAACGATCTGGTTGTGAAAAACTTGGCCTTCCTCTAACACAAGTACTAGTGTTTCTTTTGAGTGATA